TCCTTTCCCCAGGTTTATAAAGGGAAGTATTTTCCTCAAGGAACCTTCCTGGGCGCTAAGGCTCGATCACACCCTTCATGGGGGTGGCGGAGTGTCCTTTTTGGGCGCCAGTTATTGGAGATGGGTTTAAGATGGCAGGTCGGTAATGGCTGCTCGACCTCTCTTCTTTATTCTAGCTGGATACGCGGGCTTCAGCTGGATCCCCCTCGTTATAATTCGCTGATCTTACCGGAAGGGGGTGACCCCTCTGTGGCGGAGGTTATTTTTCAAGGGGAAGGGCGTTGGTGTGATGATAAGCTTAGTCAATGGTTTGACCCATCTACCTGTCGTGCCATAAAGGCTATTCCGCTTCCGCGACAGAATGTGGCAGATAAACTTATCTGGCATAACTCGGCAGACAGGGTTTTCTCGGTAAAATCGGCTTACCATTTGGCTGTTGCGTTGGATAGGAGGAGGGGTGGGTGGCAGTCCTCAGTTAGTTGGATGGATAAGCCCAGCTGGATCCTTTTTGTGGGAGGCAAATATCCCTCCAAAGCTGAAGGTATTTGTCCGGCAAATCCTTAATCGGGCACTACCGACTACTGAGGCGCTCATTGAAAAGAAGGTCCCTGTGCTTCCCTGGTGTCCGGTTTGCTGGGATAGCCCTGAGACAATGGAACATCTGTTTCTTTATTGCCCGGTTTCCCGGGCTCTTTGGGACTACTCGAGGCTGGAGTACCTGGGGGAGGGTTTGCCTCGGCAGACCTTTCCGTTATTTCTTAAAAGACTGTTGGCGCTGATTCATCAACCGTCATTGTTCATGGCTGTGGTTGCCATCCCATGGCGGATCTGGCGGTCTCGTAACTGGGTTGTCTTTGAAGGAAAACAGTTTGGAATCCATGCGTTAATGCGTCTGTTTCACCACCAATATGAGGAATGGGTGGCCTTGCCGATTGACCAGGCTCCTAGGGTGTCTTTTCCTTTGGTACAGCCAGTGACTCACATGGGTGATTCAAGTTTGGTTTGCATGTGGGATGGGGCCACTAGGAGTGGATCACATTCAGCTGGTGGGATGGTTTGTTTTGATCCGGCGAGGACTCTCCTTTTGGCTAAGGGGTTTCAGTTTCCTCAAATTGATGAGCCGATGGTGGTGGAGTTGCTTGTGTTTCGAGAGGCTATTGTTTGGTGTTTGGAGTGTGGCTTGTCGGAGGTCCGGTTCGAGGGCGATGCGAAAGTAATCATTGATAAAATTAACCAAGCTGACACAAGAGATAACCGGTTGGGTGCTGTCCTTGAAGAGATAGGTCATTATTTTCACACCCGTGCTGGGTTTAGTGTGCGATTTATAGGTCGGGAGAACAATAGGGTAACTCATTCGGAGGTTAGAAAAGCCATCTCCTTGTACCCGACTATGAGTCGTTTCTTTGATTTCTGCGTCTGGCTGGTTTCCAGGATGTAACTATCTATTTGTTTGGATCAATATATGATATCTTTTTTAAAAAAAAGTGAAAAAAATTAAAGTGCAATTTCACTATAACCACATAGTTTTGAGGTTTGGTTAAGACAAAAAAGTTTCAAAATTCAAAACTAATTAAATTTGCAATTCCAAACACTAAGCAAAATATAGCTAATCAAAACAAAACCACTAAGAAATTATCGTTTTATCAATTAACCACTAACCTTCCTTATCCATTTGGTTTGCTATTCAAACTGATAATTGACTAACTGTTTACCACCCTTTTTGGTCGTCGAGCGCGAGACATTCTTATTCCTCTTTTGGATTTGCGGAGCTAATTTGCCAACTCCTACAGAGATAACAAAACCCTCCCGATGCTTCGACCAAGAACAAGTGAGTGATGAACAAGAATGGTATTTGATCGAAATAGGAAGAACAAGTTTTGGCTTTTCTGTTTCTAATACGACACCGGCTTTGTGTCTATAAACCAGGCCATTCCAAACTCGGAAAAAATCCCACTGTACACATGTTTTTAAAAAAAATTCTCAAAATACACACGTTATGAAAAAAATTCCCAATCTACGCATGTTTGGGTATTCACCGCATCAGAGCAAGGCGGTGATTGCATCACCGCATTAGAGGAGGACGGTGATTGCATCACCGCTATAGAGAAAGACGGTGATAGCTTCACCGCATTAAATGGTCGCGGTGAAGGCCTGACCTGCGTCGAAACTTTAAACGAACGTAACTTTGTGCTCGGTTATCCGATCGTGGCGAAATTTTTTTGATTCCGCATAATTTTTTGAGATCTTGCAATCGCTCGGTCCCGCCTTCGTCCCGAAAGAAACGTCGTTTGCTACCCCGAACGAGGCTTTTTTCGATTTCGTCAAACTTTGAACGACCATAACTTTGTGCTGCACAATCCGAAAATCACGATTTTTTTTATTCTGCATAACTTTTTAAGGACTACAATATTTAGTAGGAGAGAATTTTCAAAAATGAATTATTTTTGGATATACTGGGTTTTGGGAATAACTTTATCTTGCCTTTTCAGGAATCCAAGTACATTCTGAAATTATGTCTATGATAAAAATTGTAGTCCTTAACAAGTTATGCGAAATAAAAAAAAAATTCGTGATTTTCGGATTGTGGAGCACAAAGTTATGGTCGTTCAAAGTTTGACGAAATCGAAAAAAGGCTCGTTCGGGGTAGCAAACGACATTTTTTCGGGACGAAGGCGGGACCAAACTGTCTTTGACTGATTGTGGCTTGCAAGATCTCGAAAAATTATGCGAAATAAAAAAAAATCGCCACGATCGGATAACCGAGCACAAAGTTATGTTTTTTTAAAGATTTGACGCAGGTCAGGCCTTCACCGCCTTTGTCTAGAGCGGTGATGCACCGGTGATGCAATCACCGCCTTCCTCTACAGCGGTGATGCAATCACCGCCTTGCTCAGACGCGGTGAAGGCCCAAACATGCGTAGATTGGGAAATATTTTCATAACGTGTGTATTTTGAGAATTTTTTTTAAAACATGTGTACAGTGGGAATTTTTCCTCCAAACTCAAGAGCCCAAACCTTTACGTTAAAGAAAGATACACCGAAGCCCAATCACCACAAGTGATGTCGCAAACCTTATTAACCCTTTTCCCTCAAAGTACAATGTTTTACCAACTCACCTACAGGTTCTCCTCAAGTTCTTTTTCGATAAAGCAACCCCTATAAAACAAAATTCACAAGAACAAACACGAACAGAGTAAAAATCAAATATCAGCAGAAATAAGGAGAGAACACAGAACACCCAGAATTTTTACGTGATTTCCAGTGCTGAGAGAATAAGGATCTCAACACTGACTATTCCACGGTTCGATTATCACGTTTTGCGATCTCAGACGAAGCACTAAGTATATGATCGTTGACTTTCCGCATGATTACAATGATCTCTTAACCCTAGTCGATTACCTCCATGCTAAATCGACACACCAATCCTATCAGCTACTCCGCTAATAGAGCTGTTGTGTTCCCAAACAACATTTACCCATAAATCCTCCCGACCTCTACGCCGACTTTTCTCTCAAACCCAATTGCTAACTCGCTAGAAGCTTTCTGATTTGATCACTTTGAAAAGTCTGTCGATTACTCTGGCTTCCAGCTCTACATATACACTTGTCTTCTCCTCATAGTCGTTGGAATTATAAAGTTTCTTTCCTTGCTTGTTCCTTGAATCTATAACTTTCCATATGAATTGCAATCTGTTGAGGATGATTTCCTCAATCTTCCTCCCGCTGGTGCTTAGTTGCATAAACTTCCTTGATGGTGAGACTGATTTCTCCAGCTGGCGATTTTGTTGATTTTACTGGGTTCCATAGCAATGCTGCTCCCAACATTCTCCCCCTCAGCTTAGCAATGATCATCTTCTACAAAATCAATCACAAGTATACTCGATAGACATGTGAGTTGAAAAATATATTACAAAACAGAACACAACAACCATATGGAAACAAAAGTTGATAGGCTTATTTCATCCGCTTTTATTATAAGCAGTTCCAATTAGGTCGAAGAATGTGTTACTTATTTCATCTTCAATATTTCATGGTGTTCAAAAATTATGGTTTTATTTATATTTGGTCACAAGTATAGTGATGATAGGCATGAATATTATGGATTTTTTATTGGTAGAAATAGTATGGATTTTAAATGGCTTGATTATAATGAATTTTGATCTATGATGATTTTTTTCCTTTTTCATCAAGACTCATGCTTCGTTTATAGTAAATATACCCTTTTAATTATACACAATAAAGAATCCATTAATTATGTAAGCCTTTTATTATATTTATTAATACAATGAATTCTCTCACTAAAAGGGGAGTGCATACATCGTTGGTGGAAATTCAAGGAATGAAAGCCTTTCCATATCCTAGGAACATTAAATTAATTACCTAAGAATTTTCTATCTGCCTTGTACGGGTTTTCGTCATTAATTATGCTGATTGGGAGCCAATCAGTTTTACTTTTTGGGTTAACCAAACATCAATGCAAATTTAATTAGACGAGGGCAATTGTGAACGAAGTGGAATGATATGATCTCAATAAGACATCTCTACAAGATACAATGGCTTGAAACAGAAGCAACCTCACTCACAAGCTGGAAGCTGGAATTTTGGTTCAGCCCCTTTGCCATTTCGGGTAGCTCACTTTGGAAGCCTGTTCGTCACGCATGGCTCGATGAAAATGAGATTTTATTGATTTGTATTGAACCTGGGATGTTTGTAAACACCTGGGATTACTTGGGAGCTGGAGATCAAGTCCCGAAGGTTCCTTTTCAGGTTGTGCAAAAGTGTAACTGGAAAGTTGGAAATTGCCAGTTTTTGGCTAAGGTAGTAGCCAGGTTCAAGCTAGATACTTTGAGACTCGATTCGGAAGGGATGGCTGCGAGTTGCGACTTTAATTGTGGACGAGTTGCGACTTGCCTACTTGGCATATGGGTTTAAAAGAAATTTGTTATTGAAGAAGACCCCAATAGCATACATGTCTACTTGGCATAGGGTTTTAAAAGCAAACTCCTTTATGAAAAGTCAATATAGTTTCCACGAAAAAACAAATATAGAAAGCATTCACCAAACCGAAAATGGTTGTCCTTCATCTTGAAAAACAAAACATAACATGGTTGTCCATCATCTTGAAAAAAAAAACATAACATGGTTGTCCATCATCTTGAAAAAAAAACGCAAAATCAGGTTGTCCTTGGGCTCTTCGACTGGGTTTCCTTGTGCTCTTCTCTTTCCTTTTTCTCCTTTCATGGGCTTTCTTGTACTCTTCAACTGCAGCTTCAACTTGAGGTGCAACTGTTCTTGCTTCCGTGAGCACTGTATGCCTTATGTAGTTCATGGGCTCTCGAACAAGGTACAAAGCAATCTGCATCTTCCTCACTTGAGTGCATGGCTATCAACATCAACAAACATGGTGCTTAACGCATGATTCAAAAATAACAAACAAGTGTGGTTTTCCAATATGCGAACTAGAATTGTCTTTACCCAAATATAGGAGGAGTCCCAGCTTGCGCCATACATCCACATGCAGACCCAGACTCCACTGTCAGACCTACATAAAATGAAAGCATTGCATGATAAACAAGTTGATAAGCCGTCGTTTAATATCACGCAAAACGGACATACTTACCGATGTAGTTGTTCTTGATCCTTTGAAGGATTTGTGTACGAAAACTCCGCAATCCTTGGTGGCAACAATCCCGGACCTTGTTCACGATAGAGAATCTTCCACAAGGCTTGCATAAATCCCATATGCACAAATTAAGAAACGTTTGTATTGAGAAAGAGGTATTTACATTTTTTGGGTTATAACGACACAGTGTCACAAATTTACCGTTTGCTGACAGGAAATTAATCTTAAGCAAAATCGGCCCACAACCTATAGTTCAGCAGGCAGATAGCACACTCCTTTTCCGTCCTTAGAATTGGTCCACAACTCTTCTAGAGTCAAGTGACAGGGCACTGCTGTTATAACCTAATATAACATGGACAAAAAACACTTCATGATACTATAGATTTTTTACAAAATATTTCTACCTATAAAGCATGGATAGTGGACAAACAAAACAAAATTTTGGAGTTCCATAGATTACTTCAGAATCTACGAATGAGCGAGGGCTTAAGAACCACAATGACTTCCTAGTACAAGAGTTGTTTGAGGTTTTGACCAATACTTCGTCGGGTGGCAGATTGGCTAAAAATATATAGTGAGCAAGCTGGATTTGCTCATCATCATATTCCATACCAGTAGGTAGCTTAAACTTCAAAACGACATGGAATAAGGACCACAAATAAACACGAGTCGAAATGCATTCGTTATGTTTGACGGAATCACGACAAAGAACAAAGCTAACACTTGAATGGCAAATAGGACACATTTATTACCTTGTCAACAGAACTTAGGGAAATACTTTTTCCATTTGGCTTCTTTGGTGTTACCTCAGAGTCAGGTTCATCGTCCGAAATAGAAACGATGACTGAAGCAGGAGTGGATGGAGTGCGCACACCTTTGGGTAGCCTTGGTTTCTTTGTTCGAGTCACAAATTCGTTGGTCTCCTTCAATGACAGTGAACCTACGATTAATAAATTAACTAGAATGAATTTCAATGGTTAAAGCGCTATTTGACATACCACAAGCTTGGACGAAGAGCGAGTAATCTTCCTATTTTTCATGTTGTGCCTCTAAGCTTCTAGTCTGTACTCAAAATTGCGGCAAAGAAGGATATGGAACCATTGCTCTACCGCTGAAGATTAATGGGTTAATACCCTAGTTTGGCCCCAAGTTTAGCGTAAGTGTCAGTTCTGGCCCCATTTTTCAAATAAGACATTTATGGCCTACTTTTGAAATTATTGGACAAATTTGGTCCGCATTTTGAATTGACTGTCAAAATTGACGGTAAACTATTTTCTCCGTAAGTGACTCAGCATCCACTACTGACTAGGACGTCCACATCATTTAAGAACTATAAAAAAAAACAAAAAACAAAAAAACAAAAAATAGAAAAAGGGATGGTCGAAGGAAACCCTTCTTCATCTTTTTCCTCTTCTAACTTCCACCTCCACCTATCACTGAAATCCTTCCCTCAATTTCCTTCCCCATTCTACAATCCCTAGCTGCCTGTCATCCTCGCCATCCCTGGCCAACTTCCTTCCGTCAATGGCGACCCTCGTCGCCAAGAGTCAAGCCACCACACCTTTTCCCTTTTTCACTATACTCCAGATCTGGGTCGGGGATCTGAATCGTTGCGATTTTCACAACGGCATTGTGTTCTTCAAGAGAGAGACGACCATTGACGGGAATCAATTTTGTAAACCGAAGAAACCAAACCCAAAATTTCAGTTCAGGGAAATCGTTTGGAGAGACGACCATTGACATCTGCTTCTTCCAGGGAGAGAAGACCATTGGCATACTCGCGTTAGCCGGATGTACGGGCGTCGCACCGCCACCACCACCAGCGCTCCCCGTCGCCTTCGCCTCCGCGGAAGAGGCACCATCGCGAGCCCGACGAGGAGAGGGATAGAGGCAAGCTAAAAGCAGGGGGCTTATGATATTGTGGACGGGATCTCATGCAGCAGCAACAGAATCGAATGGACAAGGAGAATGGTAGGGGTGGCGAGGATGGGGGTGTGATGATGAAGATGATAGGGATTCCGATTCGGTGGGGAGGGGATGGAGTTAGGGGATTGGAAAGTGTATTTTTGTTTTGTTTTGTTTTATTTTAAGTTTTTTGTTTTTAATTTTTTAATCCAAATATATGATGTGGCAGCCACCACGGATCCACCTCATTATTTTGATGCTGAGTCATCGACGCAAAAATAGTCAACCGTCTATTTTGACGGTCAATTTAAATCGTAGGCCAAATTTGTCCAATAATTTCATAAGTGTGCCATAAATGTCTTATTTGAAAAATGAGACCAGAACTGTCACTGATGCTAAAATTCGTGCCAAACTAGGGTATTAACCCAAGATTAATTATATATACTAGCTTACAGGGATAAATCGTGGCGGCATATTTTTCCCGTGGAAAAATAGTTAGGGTTTAGTCTAAGGTACATGAACTTGGGATAAACATGGGTAGTTATTAAACCTAAAAATAAAAATATATTTTGTTTTTCGATTGAATAAAAAATTGAGTGCTATTAGTAAATATTCTCTCATAATAATATTTGATCCTTCCCCATACACATAGTACACAGATAGAGTCAGTTGGCGTTTGGCTTTACTAAGCATTCCTTATCATTTTAAATATTTTCGTTATTTATGAAAATGGTAAAGAAATCACTAAGATAAAGAATAAAAAGTTCAAATCGTTCCTCCCAAAAAAATAAGATATCACAAATCGTGTTATGATTCGGTTTAATGGGGATAATTATTAAGTGGCCCATTCAAGCATTAATTCGGCCATCATTCCTATTAGGGTTCTGTAATCTACAACGTTTGTTCCCCAAAATAAGTCGCAGTGGCAATGACGTCGGAGGCAGTCCCACCATTGACGTCAGAGGCAGTCCCACCATTGACGTCGGAGCCAGTCCTACTATTGACGTCGGAGCTAGTCCAAGAAAATGATGGTGCCGGAGCCAGTCACACCACCCAGGAAGATAATGTCGCCGATCTCATATTTCTACAACATGAAGATATTAAAAAAAATGAAGTTCGATGATACAGAAGAAGCGTATGATTTCTACATGGACTATGGGTTGGTCAAAGGCTTTGACATCAGAAAATCAGACGTTGGTCGTGATAAGAACCAAGTGATGATATGGCATGACTATGTATACTCTGGTGAGGGAAAGAGGTGCATGAAAAGCACAAAACGAAAGAGAGAAGCAAGAGGGGAGACCAGATTTAACTGCAGAGCCAAGATGCGTGTTAAACACAACAAGGTCGATGGGAAGTGGTATGTGCACCAGTTTGATGATGTACACACACATGAAACGATCCCCAGAGAATATAGGCACTACATGAAAGGGAAACGTCGTATGAGTGATGCAGTCAAAGCAACGATAAATTTTAGAAGAGTTGCAGGCATGAAAACTTCTCAAATTGTGAATTTGGTCGTATCAGAAGCAGGAGGCTACGACAATTTGGGCTACACGAGGAAGGATGTATATAATTATGTGGACAAAGAGAGGAAAGAACAAATCAGTGAAGGTGATGCCGCAACAACCCTAGCCTACCGGCAAGCTAAATGCATCGCAGGCGATCATTTCGTTATTGAACTAAAGAAGGATGACGACGACCGGCTTATTAACCTCTTGTGGGCCGATAGTGTTTCTGTCGCTGATTATGCATGCTTTGGAGAATTACTGTCATTCGATGCTACTTACAAAAGGAACCTTTACCAGATGCCTCTCGTGATTTTTTCAGGTACTTGTCCTTCACACATGGAATTATCCCTAGCATGCTAAAGTAACCCTAACAGTTTGCATAATCTAACTTATTTTGTACCTTTTTAGGTGTCTACCACCATTCGCAAACTTGCGTATTTGCATGTGCTTTCTTGGCTAACGAGAGAGAGGAAAATTATATTTGGGTGTTGGGAGCTTTGAAGAGAAGGCTAGGCGGTGTAGATCCCAAGACTGTTATTATAGATGGGGATAAAGCATTGCGTAATACAATCCATAAAGTATTTCCCGATGCAACACATCGTCTATGTTCCTGCATATAGACAAGACTATAACCAGAAATGTGAAGAATCATCCTACTTTTTTGTGCCGATGGAAGCATTTTGTGTCAGCTGATTGGGAACCTTCAGAATTAGAAGAAAAGTGGAAATCAGTGGTTGAGGAATGCTCCCTTCAGCACAACAATTGGGTCTCCAATTTATTTGCCCAAAGACATGAATGGGGGTTTGCATATTTTCGTTCGAAGTTCTTCGTAGGCTTGAGTACAACATCAAGATGTGAAGGAGTTGTCGCAACCGCCCCTCGAAATTGGGAATTTGGGATTTCCGTCGCGATTTGCTCTGAGTCGCCATCGACCTTAAAAGTAGTGGGCCGAGCACTAATTGGATCGGTCTCGACCTTAGGATCGAAACCGGGATTTGGTCTGCGAAATTTTAGAGATTATGGGATTCGGGAGTACGGTTACGTGTGGGGAAGTGTATTCACACCCCACGACGCCCAAAAAATGGTACTACTTAAATCAATAAATTTTAAGGGTTGGGTGTTTTATTATTTGCGGATTATTGCGTATGTAATTATAGGATTAATATTAGTGTAGTATGATTCGATTTTACACCTATTGACGTAAATCTCGAGAATTAAAGAAAGTATTTTGATTAGTTGGAACCAATTAATTAATGATTAATGATTATGGAAAGGTTATACTATAAAAATCATCATGATCTATTAACCATGATTTCATTTTAATGAATCTTTAGGAAAAAAAACAAATGCGTGATTACGTAGTGAAAAAGATATTTAGAAGATTTTGATATATGGAAACAATGACGATCTAATTAGATCAAAATTTCTAATACGTTTAATTGATTACGTATTAAGCATGATAAGGAATAAAACTAGACGAGGGGCCTAAAACGTTCAAGGATTGTGTGTAGCTTAGTGGTCTGGTGTGGATCAAGGTTGTCAAACCGGTTTATACCGTTGTGCCGGTTTGGCAAATGAAATGGTACGACCAGTGGTATAACCAGTTTTTGCCGGTTCATGCCGGTTTAAAAAAATGTGAAAACAATTAATATCTCATGTATTTAATCATATATAAAACATATTTGTGGACAATTTAGTTACAATCCAACAAATAACATCAACTTTTAACTATTACATTCATAAAATGAACAATAAATTAATTTTTTCATTCATTGAACTCATTAAAATGATGTCATTTTACTTAGAATGCGTAAGTCGATCATACCGGTCATATCGGTGGTGTCATGCCGGTTTCATGACCTGCACAGGTTGAACCAGGTTCAACCGGGTGGCATGCCACCGGCGTGACAACCATGGTGTGGATAGTTGTCGTTAGCTTTGAGCCGAAGGTCATCGGTTCGAAACCACTAAAGTTCTTTTTTACGATTTAAGACTTGGAGGGGTAGATCGGTCATTTACGTGGAGGCCATAGGTATAAAAGCAAAATTGAAAAATGCAAACCCTAATCATCTTCAATCTGAAACCCAAGCGGCGCTCCAATCCTCTCTTTTCTTTCGTTTCTTTCTTTCCCCTTCTACTGGAAAACGATCGACAACCGAAAAGAATAAAGGAAACGAAACCCTCGAAATCCAACCTCCTTTATCTTTCGTTTTCTCTGGAAATCGAGCAAGAAGGAAGAAAAGAACAACGATTCACTCCGACTCTTTCTCTCTCGCCGTTCTAAATCGCGACGATGACGACGACGATGATGAAGCAGGGTTCAAAGGTCAGTTTTGGTTGCATGTTAAGTTTTTTGTGCAATTGTCAATTAGGGATTTTTAGGGTTTTAATCAATTTTTGGTTTCTCTTTTGATTTCTGGGTTTTATCGAGGGGAGAAAGAGGAGATAGATCTCTCCGGCCATCGAGGCTCCCCGATGAAGGTGGAGAAGGAAAGGCCGACTGTCTGAATCTACTTTCTGTGAGTTTTCTCGTCGTTTTATGTGGGTTTTAAAGGGTTTCGGTTTGTTTCTATTTCTGACTGATGGTTTGATTTATTGGGATGCAGGTTTCGGAGATGGCTTAGATCTAGGTGAGTTTTTCCTAAATTCGGTTTACTACGGCTGGAGAGATTAAACTGGAAAAGTGAATCATGTTGTTGATTGGAGAAAGGTTCATAGATCTTGTATTTTGGGATTGTGATTTGGTGTTTGTGGGTGGGGTGTGGTGAATATGTGAGATTTGGTTTTCATTCCATATATATGCATATATCTGTTTTTATGTATGTGCAAAAATGATGCGAGAATTGAAATATGACTTATATAAACGAACTAGTGAATAACAGAGAGTAAATAGCATAATAAGTAAATAGTAATTAGCTTAACGTAAAAGTAGAGATAGTTATATGCTATTATGACTAATTAGTTAGTAAATTAATTGTGCTTGAAATAAGTAGATAAGTGGGTCGAGAATAAAACAGAGATGAATGGAAGAGCTGATAATGTAAATCTAGGATTTGATTAGCTTTCAATCATTCTTTTAAATCAATTTGGTCACGGTGTAGTTCGATTGGAGTTGATTGATTTTTAAAGAGTATTGTGAAGAAAGAGATGCTGATAATGATAATAGTAAAATGATATTGAAAAAAAATAAAAGAGTAGTAGAGAAGAGAATAAATCAATAGTATATTATCATAACTGGAATATAAACCTGGGTTTTGCTCAATACAAACCTCGATGGGCTTATGTTTGCCTTGAGGTCTTTGCTTCTATTTTACAGAAAATAAAGAAGGAATTCTTTTTTATTTTTCTCTTTCTATTTTCCCAGCGTTTCCCTTCTCTGGCCAGACTAAGAATAGAAAAGAAACTCTGAATTGACTACGAAAAAGAAGAAGCTAGTACTGACAAAGAAAGAAGTGTTTCCCCTGTGTTTTCCTCTCTGAAAAGCTGTCCCTTCTCTTGGGAATTGAGCCTGCTTTTATAGAAAAAGAGGCGGTGGTTTCTGAGTTTGGTCGGACCCATTCTGGTTGAACCAGTCGGTCGGGTCTTTGGGATGGCTTGCATCTGGCCCATGATGTCTGATCTGGTCCAAATTCATTTGAGCTTGTGCTCGGTTGGGCCTGACTGGGTTTCCTTTGGGCCTGGGCCGAGTTGGGCTGCTTCATATTGCACCTTGAGTTTGGACTAACTGGCCTTTCTTCTTTGCATTGCAGGTCCAAGGTTGATTTGCTTCAAAGGAGATGGTGGGTCAAGCCTGAAACTTATTGAACACTTGTAACTCTCATTAGTTATTTGTGATTTGTAATTATGATTGTAATTGTAATTTAGTAAAATTTTTAATAATACATTTTTCTTATTTTATTTTTGTGTTGTGCAAAAAGTTGAGATTAGAAGCCAATCGATCCCATTAAATCCACTCAAATCGTTGAATAAATTATACAATCGTCGATATTTTAGACTCGCAATCCCAATCTAATTATCTTATGATATTAAGTTAGAATTTTTAGTTGAGTAATTGACCCGGACAAAATGGGGTGTCTACAGGAGTGAACTCTCAACTTGCCAATTATTTCGAAAATGATAAAAATCTCCTTGAGTTCTTTATTCACTTTGATCGTTGGATTAGGGATATGAGGGAGAATGAGCGTCATTAGGGGTGTACATGGGTCGGGTGGTTCGGGTTTAGTCATTTTAATCACCCAACCATGTACTACGGTTTGGAAAATATCAAACCCAAACCCAGCCAAAAAAATTTAAACCGTACGGTTTGTTTCTAATTGGGTTGGGTCGGGTTGGCAATATTTTTAAGTAAAAACCCAACCCAACATAAAATATATAATTATTTTACATCTTAAAAATATTTTATAACTATTTAAAATTTCAAACGAATAAACCGAGGTGAAATGTATCAAAATTCACAAATGTTGTTTGAATTTTAATAAAATTTGATTTACTTCAAAATATGTCTAGTTTTTTTACGATATTTGTTGAAATAGGCTAAAAAGGTTATAAACAAACGCATCCACCATATGTTATTCTATTAAAATTGTACACAAGAAAAACGATTACGTGAATCATAACTATATTCAATTTAAGTCTAAACTTTAAGTCGAAGAATGCATTAGATTAGGGAGACCATGAGAGAAAAACATGGCGAAATATCTTAATTTTCTCATAAGTATGGCTATATACGACATAAATATTTTTTAGATACGAACTCATACTAATAGTTGAAACACGGGTTGGATGGTGTAATCCAAAATCCAAATCCAACCCAAAATAGACGGGTTGTACAAAACAAAACCCTCACCCAACCCAAAATCTTTGTTTTAACGATAAATACGGGTGGGTTGGGTAGGTTTGGACGGGTGGGTCGGTTTGCGGGTGTGTTTGTTCACCCCTAAGCGTCATGCTGATTTTGAATCCATTCATCGAGAACGAACCATCACAAGCAATGTCTTAGTCTCACTTCAGAAGAGTGGAGCGGCGGTTTTCACAAAGATCGCATTCTTCTTATTCAGAGACGAGGTTGAAAAGTCAGCATGTTGCATAAGGGTGCAGTCAGAGCGATCGGAAATTGAGCGTGTGTACAAGGTCAAGGTTTCTACACTACAAAAAAGCGTGCCATTAGTGACCGGAGGTTTACATCGGTAAAGGCCAAATTTCGTCAGAAATGGGATTTGCGACGACATGAGGCCGTCAAGCGTCGTTCCAAATACGAGCGTCATAAAAGCTTTCTTCGTGACGAGCCGTCATAAAAGCTATTTTGCGACGGGTTGGATTCATCTCTAATGCCTGTTCAAATTGACGAACTACCCAGTTTTTGTTTTTGTGACGACAAAGAATCGTCGGAAAAATTAACAATCTCGTCAGTAATAAATTCTCATTGACGACGATTGAAGACATTGCCCGTTTTTCTGACGAGATATAGTTGTCGCTATGATAAAAAAAGTCATCAATAATACTTTTTTTTATGACGTTGCCTATTTATGGCGATACATATCCGTCTCTATAATTAATAAAGTCATCAGTAATACATTTTTTAGGATGACGTTTAATGATATTTGGGACAACTGAACATCGTCACATATATTACATTTACGACAAACGAGAGATATCACAAATAAGGATTCCAATATTTGCGACTTTGCTAACTCTTGACGAAAAAATACTATTAGCGATGATATGTAGCTGTCACTAAATTATTTGGAGTGTACACAGTTGAACCCTTTGCAATGGAGTGTAGTTGTAATCACTACGATTATATCGGAATACCATGCCGTCATATGATTTTTGTATTGAAAGAAGAGAGCATACTGGAACTTCCTGAAGGCCTAGTACGTCGAAGATGGTCAAAGAAGTCGAAGACACTAGAGAGCTTGGAGGAACCGGACATAATAGATGAATCGCATCTTTTCGCATTGAGGTTTGCCACGACTATCAATTTTTTTTATAATATTGGTTCGAAGCTAGGTGAACGTTAATTTTACTCACTTTGTATAAAATATTGTGTCAATCAGGTATGGTACTATTCAACAAATCAACTTACAACTAATGTTAAAAGGGGCAAAATCTAGTGAGTGCTTCAAGATTGCTCGTGAGGGAATTCAATCATTATGTGAAAAGCTGGACCTGGTGGACACTGGCAACGTGGACATACCCGACATTAATAGACCGAAAGCGAATGATATTTTGTTGGATCCATTACCGGTCAAAGCTAAAGGTTCGGGGGCTAAAATACTTAAAAGGAAGAAAGGAGAACCACAACAGTGTAGTAATTGCGGGGAATGGCGCCACTATAGGACCCGATGCCCACATCTTGTTGGCTATGTGAAGCCAACCTAAAACGCTGATGCCCCGAATCCTGGTGTTTTGGAAGAAGGTGGCGGTGGCGATGACACCGATGTTGATCCTCCCACCACTCGAAATTAGTCGGAAACATTACCGAAGAGAAGGAAAAAGCATTTCAGTATGTGCGGTTCTACCAATCATAATGCAAGAAAGTGTACTGGGTTTGGGCCATCCGATGATGAAAATGACGATGATGTTGATTCTGACGACGATTATGAGCAACCTAGGGTAAGAATAAAATATAATTGTTCGTGTCTACACAATTCAGTTGCATCCAATATTTTTGTCCGACTAAAATCGCTGTTATCGATTTTGCAGAAGAGGCATGTTACCAAAAGTAGCAACCCAAGGACCAGAGTTTTGGACACTTGAGTTCTTCGGAATGTGTGTGTAAAAGGGCTTCAACTATTTGATCAGTGTTGAAAACTTGAAGTGAAGATGGAAATCCTTATCCTGTTCGGATTAGGATTATGTGAAGATTGCCACTGTCAGCTTGAAGCGGCGTCGTTTGGTTAAGAAGACTGCTGCCTTTTGCGGTGTCGTTTTATTTATGTGTCTGTTTGGTTTATAAGAAGACTGCTGCCTTCTGCGGTGTCGTTTTATTTATGTGTCTGTTGGTTTATAAGAAGACCGCTGCATTCTGTGTTCTTTAATCAGACGTCTTGCAATTAGATGTTTGTTGATTGAATTCTGAATAGTTCGGATGGATTTGATTTAATTCGAAATAGAGGTTGCACCCTAAATAAATCATGTGCAACATTTCAGTTGAATAATTTTAAGCACTCGTTTTTTTTTATTGAATTATTATATAATATTTTTTACGTGTTTATAAATTTATTTAATATTGGCTACTAAAATTATGAAATGAAAATTTTCCTTTTTCCATTTCACTTTTTTATTTTAGACGTGAAATGACAAGAACATGCGGCGACAGAGGAGCAGAGTTCGAAATCCGGAAAAAAATATTGTTGGCCCAATAGTAAAAGACTTCTGAAAATGGAGTCAGTAATCAAGAAATAAACTACAATATTTTTATTGGGAGTGAAAGATTCTCACCGATCTATTATGATCTCAATCACTAAAAGTACAAATCTTGAAAAACAAAACAATGTACTTTCCCTCCCTCTTTTATACTATACATATGGGAACTTTCCCTCTTGTATATATTTCGAAGCATGATCAATATGTACGCGTCAATATTGCTAAAAAAAACCACCATATGACGTAGAGTTCCACAAAACCTATTATGGAATCGTAACAATATATGATGATTTTTCGGCAATATTCAGACGGTGACTTAATGGTCATTGCTCCCCTCCCTGCCTCTAAGAAAGACCCTGTATGGAGAGAAAAGAAGAAACAAGAAAATGAAGGAGTTAATTTAACAGTCATGATCTAACAAGGACATAATGAAAGGAACTGAGATCTAAAATAATACGCAGTCTGATTATTGCCACTGCACCCGAAAATAAAGCATGTGATAGGAGGACGAAGAGGCGGCTGTGGTTGATTTTTCAGAGATTCATATCGAGAAAATGGGAGAAAGGGGTCTTTTCAGGGATTGAGAGGAGGAGGAACGAACAACAGCAGGAGATGAGTGCCTCTCGGGTTTCGGAGCACGGTCTCTCCTTCTCTGATTAACGAATTTATAAATGGACTCGTAAAATTACTTTGCCTTTCCCGCCTTTCCCATTTACTGAAAATCACACTTCCTACCGCTGCCTCGGACTTGGTACGCCACCACTGGTTATGGGCAAATGCGACTTTCTGGAAATGGCGAAATCTGATTGGGTGACACGCCGCAGAAAGGATTGACGGTCTTTCACCATCGGATTAAGGGAAAAGTTAGGAAGTGACGGCGGGAGATGGGGATGTGCTTTTAGACTGGCTTTGTAGATTAACTAACTTTTTCGTTTAGCAAAATTAATCTATTGATCTGGTATATGTTATTGTAACCCTAAACCAAACCCTAATACCCGAACCAATCAATACCATATATACTCTAAACCATCAACACATTTCTACCTACCTTATACCCTAACCTTCAATACCTTATAGGCTTATACTCTAAACCATAAATACCTTAGACCATCTCCATCCCCAACTTTTAGCAATTGCTAAAGATGAGGTGGAGTTTAGATGACAAAAACTTAGCAATGGTTAGGGATAGAGGAGTTCTTTCTAAACTAGCAAGGTTGCTAAATTAGGAATTCTTCTAGCAATGACACATAGATAACTATTTTCTTTTTCTATTTTATTGTTTATTAACTTTTCAATTGATAAGTGTTTGGGTAGCTTTGAAATAGTAAATGGGACCCACTTTGGCAATTGCTAGCATAATTTAGGGATATAGATGACTAGAAATTGATAAGTGATGAATTGCTAAAATTGATGATGTGGCGGTAGGGACCACGTTTAGAAATTGCTAACCAATTTTAGGGATGGAGATGGTCTTATACTCTAACCCAATACCATATACTCTAAACCATCAACGCCTTATACCC